TCTTCCATCCCAAAAAGTTCGCTGAGATCGCGGAATGACTCTGCAACCTACCAAACTTTATCGATGTGACAGAGCATAATGTGGCGAGTATGAAGGTGATTTCTTAAATGCATTCTTTTAGAGAAAGCGAGAGTATTATTTTCATAATAAACACAAATGCAATATTTGAATTCTATCGAAAGAAAAGAAACCGCGAAAAAATCCGCAATAATTATGCATCAACCTAATAGTTCCGGCTCTTTTGGCATTCAACCAGACTCCTAACGTTCCCAGACGGTCAGACCAAGCTTGCACCTATAGCTTGAAAACATTCTTTCTTAATACGCGAGAATTGCGCGGTCGAAATGAAGAAGTGTTCACTTTTTTTGAAGGTCTCGTGTAATAGCATCCATGACTATAACGAAGAGCAGTGGGGAAAGCGCAGAGCCTTGGTGTATCTCGACGGTAATGGGAAATTTTGAAGAGGAGCCTGCTGCTGTTTGTACTGTAATCTATGAATTTGAGTAGAGAACGCGCCCGCACTTGATAGATTCTTCAGGGATTCCGTGCTTCCGCATTGAATACCAAACAATTCAATCCGGTACGCCATTGAAGGCCTTATATAGATCTAGAAGTTAGAGAGCACTGCTTTCCGTTTCTGGCGATGTTTTTCCAGTAACAGTATGTTATGAAACACTTATTAGTGGAGAGCTGGATGAATTCTTGAATACGCCTGTCTATAATTCGGCTTCATACTTACCGAAATCAGGCGAATTGTACCCAAATAGCCTGTGCAATCGGAAAAGCTACCGTTTTTCTTGAAGACCGGAATAGTAATACTCTGTTGTTCCAACTCTGAGGTTACCTTTTTTGCGGCGATCTCATTGAAGAACCTTCAACCACAGGACTTAGCGCCATGACATTCACACGTCGGCTGCCAAGTCGTCAGAGCTACTTGCCCTATCAGACATCAGCTTCAGGCTGCTTTCGTTGTTTGTCTTTTTGATTTTTTGTTTTCTTAACCATTATCTTGCATCAAGCACTTTACTCCTCTGTATCCTACGAACACCATGTCGCGGCATTCTTACTCGAAAATCAGTTTTCCATGATTCGCGAAGACTGTACCGTGAATATTCTGCGTGCCACTAATTCGAAAAAGGCTTGCTTGTGGGAATGGAACCCTTCCAAAAAGTTTGTCTCTTTTTCCCGGAAGAGCGTCGCAGTGGTGCTAACTTTCATCATGGACTAGTGAGCACAACGTTAACATATAAGTTAGGGTTACCGTCTAACATGTACATAGGAATGTTGTTTGTGACGGGACAGGAATGGAGGACAGCTTCCTCAAGCTTCTTGCCCTTATCTTCCCCTTCCTTTGCAGCTTTTTTTTGAAATGTATCGTCAATGCGATATGTTGAATGCACCGTTATCAAATAGTTGGATTAATTGTATCGTGACCACTGTTAGAAGATGCTGCTCATTACTATTCCGAATCTTAATATTGAATTTGAACCTATGAACTTTTATATAATATATAAACAAAGCTCTGTCCCGCTAACTTATTGCTCCTACAAGCTTGTTATGAATTAACGAGACAGTTCGAGTCTTATTTTCTCGAGTTCTGGATGCCTTACTCGCAGAAGATAGATTGAGATTACAGAAGAAAACGAAAAACCTTCTCACTCTGCTTGGGTATAACCTGAGCAGACGGGCAAGGAGTTAACTGCCGTTTCGGAAGCCCCCTGGCTAAACATGCTGAACTGTATGTAGTATCTTGAGAAAAATAGCCGTCACATCAGAACCTATGAAGCTTCCATAATAGGAGAGTAGGAAGAGTTTGCAAGAATTAGTTGTTCTGTAGAAATTTCCTGAAGGATTTCGGGAGAGACGGTCACATTTGCTACAACTTGGAGTAGTACACGTGAAATATAAGCCGGCAAAGCCTGCTATTGCAATGATTCTGCAAAGAATTCTGAACACTGAGCCGTTTCTTGTCATCGTTCTTATTTACCATCTTAAGAGTGTCTCTTTGTAACTTGTAACATTGTAGAGTCCTATAATGTGTAGTTCAATGGATCTGTTTTTTTTTCTTTGATTTTCAAGGGAGATAAGTTATGTCGTTTTTTGGGAATAGACAAATCATGAGCACAATTTTGAACAAGATGACTGGATGCTTTTCCAGCTCACATAAACTCGGATTCTCGAACAGCGGAGGCAGCGAAGGATAGCGAGGTGGAATCAGAAAGATGGATGGAGAACACGACACTTTTTGCATCGCTGTTACTCGTAAGTAGTTTCTTTGTCTTTGTATGTCATNTGAGCTGCTGAGCACTTTGACTTCTCTGAGCTCTATTACCTATTAGCAGTCGAACAGTTGGAAATATAAAATCGACTTGTATCCATATCCCATTGTCCACTAAAAGAGCTTATTTTATTCTCAGTTACACCGCAAGTGTAAAACTTTTGTTTCGATGACTTGCAAAAAGAGCGATGGAGGTGAAGTTCGTGACTAATGTTCTCTTAGAAGTCGTGACAAATGCTCTCTTAGAAGGCCTATTTCTGAGGCTTTTTCTTTAAAATCAGTCATTATGATGTATTTTTCATTACTGTCACTTTTGGCATTTTCCCAAGCCGACTGCATGGGCGCATCTCCATAGATTGCCCAACGACAAAAAAATGTTACTTTTTCTATTATACCCTCATTTTATAAGCAGAATAGGAAGGACACCCTAACCTAGCGCCCTCCAATGTTCCGTAGCAGTTTTGAGAAACTTGCGATTTTCTTGATTAGAAGAAACCTCCCGCTGTCCAGCGGATTTCCTGATTTCCCTCAAAGCTTAATATCGCTTTAATTGGTAATGACGTCTCATGGAAGGTAAGAAACTTCTCCGGGCATTTCCTTTTGGCTGTGCCTCAGTTTATGGGTGCGCTAATAAGTGCTCCCTGCTGCTCATGATGTTGTCCGTTTTGGGAGCAACAATATCGCAGATGCTAGAAGTTTCTAAGCCAGAAACCTATTAAATGCGAAAGCGCGAAGTGCTAGTCAGGGTATGTAGAATTCCGCTCCGAAATTTTTATCGTATAAGTCCTGTTCGGGTTCAGATATATTCAGGAACCTTATAAAAATAGCAGCCTATTTTGGCTAAACAAGGCATCCTATGAACTTGTTCCTTTCGACTAGAATTTGAAACCTTTCGATAGTAATTCTTCGCTTTGTGTGTGATAAAGTTCTCTTACGATAGATTCGAGCAATCACTGACTAGGATCTACAGTGTGCTCAATTTAGTGGGGAGAGGCGATAGTGAAGGCTTCCTCGTCGTATGTTTCAGACTGCAAAGTTAGTTTATCCACAACCATACCTTCAGCATGAGTTTGTGCTGTTGAACCTGTTGGATTCATTATTTTCCATTATCTCTGAGCTTCATATACGAGATTTGAGATTCTAAAAACACGATTGGTACTCACTAGGGCCAGCAACACGCGAGAAATATCCATAACTATCCCAACGATTAATTAAGGTTTCTTTTGAGCTACACTTCAGCAGGAGCATATGATCCAAGATCTTGTTAGCTTGTTCCATCATAAACCGATTTCAAAGACTATTCACGTCCACAAGTCCGCCGGAAACTTTCTCTTCAATTCCACAGTGATTTGTCCCACGCAGAAATCGGAAGAATCCTGCAATACCAGTCATCCTGTTACCAATAATGCTATAAGCTTACAATACTCAGGAATAGAACAAATGCAACTGGAATCATTTGGGTTTATGCCTTTGACACTAAGGATGAATGGCAAATGAGCATTAGACTAAGTAGAGCTAGATGATGGCCTGTTTCAGAAGTAGTCAGATAAAGTACAAATGCACATGTGCTTTAGCCTCAGAAAAACCCACCGTTCTCTCCCCAGTCGTTGTGCCATGAATTAGCAATAAGCCAATAGTCTGTACCATTTTCCTTCCCCCATCCGATAATCTTTACTGCATGGTATCCTCGGGACCTACCAGCGGTATACTGCAAGCAGACAAAGGTGATTCACCGTCTCTACAAAATGAGTTAGACTGTGAGCGTATGCTTCCTACGTGTCGTATTTGCAAAAGGAAATAGCATCAGTAAGCTCTTCATTCCAAATATTATGATTACAGTGTTAGATTTTTTAGGAATCTTACCTTATAAATTCCTGATTTGTAGTGCTTGAAATCTTCGAAGACCTCGAACGAGCCAACAACCGATCCATAATTCAGGATATCTCTCTGGATAGCTCTTACCGAGTTTGGTAGTTTGTAGGCGATCTTGCCTAGATATTCAAACTCTACGGTACCCAAAGAATTCTGGTTGTGGAAAGAAATTCATAGAATGAGGTTCGGTTTCACTGAATCTGTTCATTTTTTATTCGAAAAGTATATGTATGCTGAAGCCGACACAGGCATTTCTTCACTAAGTTAAGCAGAACTGAATAGTACGGCCAAGATGGTTGCAATTTTCACTTTTATGTTTCACAAGAAAAATACTTTCTTGTTAATACTGTGGCTTTCTACTACGGTTAATATCCTGTTAGATATTTGCANTGTTTATTTGCAATTTATCTAATTGTTTTATTTAGCTATTACTAATTATCAGTATCTTATTGCTGAACAGAGGTTGCCTCTAAGTTATACTGGCCAATACTTGCAAAACAAGTTTCGCCCACCATATCGTTTATCCATCCTGTACATTTTTCTGAAAGCAGGTAGACATTTTCTCTTGCACTCTGGAGTTTGCGCCAACCCAGGAGGACACTCTCCATAGTAGGTATCGTTTCCATGACGTCCACATGGATGAAGCGGATAGGGACGGCAGCAGCCCTGACGACAAAGCTCACTTTTATGCCACTACCACCAATCCCATTAAGTATACCACCTTACTGAGATACTGTCCACCGGAAACAACTCCGTCGTCAACGAAGAACTTCCAGGCATTGAAGGACCAACCTCCACCACATCTGAATCAGTAGGCAGATTCTTGGGTAAGTGGGCTAGGTATAAATTATCATGCATTTTGAAGGTTATAATAAGCCATAAGGTAGTACCCGTGACCGCATGGTGGTGTACAGCATGTCATAATGTCAGTGGCAGAAATGTACACCTGAAAATAGTTCTTCTAAGTCAACAACGTTCCACTATCACAGATCAAATTTTACCTGTTTTTCTCCTTTGGTTGCAATACAAATGCGATCCGAAATAGCAGCGGCCGTAGAGACAGCCCAGCATGAGCCTAAAAACGCCAATGCTAGGTAATGATGACTGACAGTTGTAGCTCCTTGAGTTTCAAACTAAAGCTCCTCACCGCAGTTTGCCTGGTCACGGATTGTAAATAACGAGGTGCAATTGGTCCAAATTTTTCGTGGATCGTAACTGTAAATGCACTCGATACTCTTGCTGCAGTGGGTATGACAGAAAAGAGGTAGCTATGTTCTGCTCTTCGATCAGACCAACAGATTATATCAGACTTATCAACTCTGATATTTCTGAGTGGTTATCTGACGCTGTTTCTGATGCTTTGAATAGATGAGGTTATGCTCACGTTGCGAAAGTGTGTTATTACGGTGCTGAGCTTGTGAATTAGATCGGTATGCAAACGCCGCGCTTCAACGCTCTATTTACATATATCACTGAGAGGGGCTACAGACTTCAGCAATATGCAATACAAAAGGATAAAGGATGTTTTTGTTGTGAATCAATCTCGTTTTATGATGCACTCAGCATTCGAGAGTTCGAGATTTAGAGTCGTAGTAGCAGTTTGAATGATAATGTATTCTATGATGGCATGTAGTGGCCTGCTGATGCAGAAGTCAGTGGCTTCGCACTTCGAGACAAGTCCGGTACCAAACAAATACTATCGAGAGGACTCGGTTGGCCTGGCCGAATATCGACCCGAGATTCGATCCCCTGGCCATATGTGTGTGATAACGTGATATATGCTTCTGCCTCACACTGTTGTCCCGATTATCATCGATTTTCTGGAGTGGACGCAGTAGCATCCACATTGGTGCTTATCGCGAGCGGACTGGTCCAGTTCTCCGCTCGAGTGACACGGAGCATAAATTCCTTTTTCTGAGAGCTTATTTGAAGGAGTCTAAACATCTCGCTGGCGACTTTCTTGGTGTTTGTTTGACTTTACGAGGGATCTAGCCAAATCGCTCCGGTCCAACGGTCATCACGATAATTAACAGCATGCCTGGTCTACCCGATCTTCGATTTTGACATAAACAACGGCGTCGCTGGTCTTCGTTCGTTGACGGCGATACGGAAGCATACAGTATCAGTCCGTTTCTAGGAACATCCTCTTTGTTAGGATCAGTCTTGGGCCGATCTGTTCACAGGCACTGTCATATTCAGCATTCGTTTAGCCTGCTCATATTCACTGTTATGAGCACGATGTCCGGATGATGTAAAAGCGGCTGGCGACCTCCACTCTCAAGTCTTGCCATTCAAAATGACGATGCACAGTTTTGCGAGATCGCATCGCCATGCTGAGCAGCTTCATTCACAATGACAATGATTTCTTTATAGAAAGGTGGATTCCTGGTAGTGAACAAAGCATCCTTAAGCATCGGGTAAGATTAGTCTTGTTGGTTAGAGCTCCAAGAAGCGCTTCTGCCTCGACGGTATGAAGGGCGAATATCGACGTCCTGTATTCTTGCGATACATCAATCAATCTAGTAACAGTCTCGATGTTATTGATTGTACTGTGCGCTCTACATAGGTCGAAGCAGGAAGGATGGCAATGTCGAAAGGTCGGAGCGGGGTCGCTTTTTTGTTTCTTACTGTGCTCCTCGATGAACTCGAATGCTCCCAATGTTGCTTGCTTCTTCCTACTCAGCCCTGGAATTAAATCTTTATCGTGTTGACTTTTTGAACCAGGTAATCGTTTTTTACGCCAGCATTTAGAGATGTCTTACCACTGTGCGTTAAAAGAGCTTCAGAGTGCAATTCGCCCTTGATAAACATAGGCGGAACAGTCGCGAGCCGATCTTTCCACAGTCGAACCAGGTGCATTCGTTCACTTTTTCGATATTGTATACTAGGAGAACGATGCCGGCTACAAAGAGAAACCCCATATACCGAGCAGGAGCACCATGATCGCTCAAAACTCGGATCACCTCTCTCAGCTATATCGAAGGTTTTCTTGGAATCAATGAATAGGGTTTAAGATACGTAAGACTTTTCGTACTCTCGTGGCAATTGTGGGAGGCCTGTGATTATAAGGATACGTTTCAAAATTCTGCTAGCTCTGAGCTTCATTTAGACTTGTTGTCGTTTTGTGTACTTTTCGGAGCTCTTTGCTCTTCATTTTTATTGGTGAGCTTTCAGCATATAATTCTTTCGTCAGACCTTACTTATTTACAACATATTGCAGCATACAGTCAGTTACTATCAGTTACAATACAAAACACGTCGAATCATACCAATTCAACCGGAAATATCAGGGAAAAAAAGGGAATAGACCTGTCGGCGGGGAACTCGAAGGGAACCTAACGCGAGGATGGCTGATGCTGTGAGCCACATTGTACCTTTTGTCAATGACAAAATGGCACGTAAGGTGAACCGCGCCGTCAAGAATTCACAGCTTCCCATTCGACTTGAATCCCGACCTCCCCTACACTGAAGGATCTCCTAACATCGTCACAAACCTAGTAAAACGGTGCCGCGAACAGTCTTGTCGATACTGCCCTTCTGAGAAGATCCGTGAACTTCAGGGGTGGAGAAAAGTACGTGGGGAATACCGCGGGACCACTGAAGATCCGTCTGGATGAACATAGAAGAGCGCTGGCCAATCCCGCTGCCTATCCACACAGCAGTTTTTCCAGAGACACTTAGGCATGAGAAAGAAAATGCTCCCTCCTTTGATGTGACGGTTTTGCATATATATTTGGCACGGCCACTGGAAAGAAAAATCATGGAAGCACGGGAAATATACCGCAGCAAGCCGGAACTCAATGCGAAAGAGAGACTGTATGAGTGATAACATTTAGTTGCCTCAGGGCAAGAGCGGCTTCCGTTTTCCCACAATATTCCCAAGTGAGTAACGTAGTCAGTCCTTTGAGGAACCGTGCTACTCGCATGTTTGTTCTTCATCTAGTTATCTGCCAATCCTGTTACAAGTGACTTGGGTGGAAAGTTCTTAGAAATAAGGCAGATTGGATGATAGCTGCCGTTTACCATAGTGTATGTTTTTTCTACAGTAACAGTAATAAAAACATACACATTCAGAATATTCGACGTAAAAACGTAACGAATACACATAGAAAGTGATAGTGAAGCAGATAGCTCACTCCTCTGGGATATCGTCTCCAGGGTCAGGATCGTCCTTGACAACAGTATATGCATCATCATTTTTGAATTTGATATTCATTAATTTGAAATCTAAATCAGGTGCTGGATCAGAGTTGACCTGGAATAGAGGTAGATTTTAGTGTGTATTCTTCGTTTCGTTGGATTACCTCGAAGAGATACTGGTTCTTCTTGAGATATTCGACAAGCGCTTCACCGCTCAGCCTTTGCACATCCAGTGGAATTCCTTGAGTGGCTGTAAGAAGGAAACGAACAGTTACACTTTCCGAGTGAAATGAGTTTTCAAGGTTGAAAAAGCAACATACCATCTGCTCCTGTTCCGGATACTCGGTATATACAGAAACACAGCACAAGCCAAAGGTACTCCTAAAAATTCTTTTGCGGTCTTAATATGTGAATACTTCCCCTTTAGGAAAAAGGTTTAAGAGGCAACTCACCATTGTTTCAAGCCACTGTGACACTGTGACGTCAGCCTTCTGCTTATATTTGCTACAAGCAGTTGTCACAGGACAGTTATTTTTGTGGCTATGATAAGGAGAGTGCAAGAATAATCCGCAGAAGAAAGGATTACTAAGATTCAGAGGCTTAGCTTTATTAGCTGTTTAGTTCAGAGGTAGTAGTTCCTGTGCTTGCATGGATAGGCCTTTGAAAGCTACAACCTCAATAGGCAGCATATCCAACTACTTGAGGCTTAATATACTTGGATCTAGCCATATCCGCCTTCGCAGTTGGCGGTGCTTTTCAGCGCGATAAATATTTCACTTAGCTACTCCTAGTCATGGCATCCGAAAATCTTTTTACTATGGAGAATGACTTTGAAAAAGGGGAACGAGCCCTTCAAACTTCTGTGGGCATTTGAAAATAGCTGTCTTTATTCTTAAGAGCGCATTGCCGTCACGCTAAATTTTTTCCTAAATCGGCAAAAATGAGTTCTTACTGGTTGATATTTGTCTAATATCTATTTGCTGGGCGGAGGTGGTGTAGTGGCAAGGGGCCACTATATCACACGCACGGTCAGGGGTTCGAATCCCGGATCGATGCCCGCCTAGGCCAACCAAACTTTCCATCCCTCCGGGGTCGGTGAATTTATTTATTTATTTATTTATACCAGACCTGTCTGGGAGGATAGACGCACTGACTTGTACAAAGGCTGGCCACCGCAAGTCATTGTATAGGCCACATACGCACTCATTACGCCACTACGATTCTGAATGGAAGTCGAGTGCGGGGGCGCATCCCTCATACGGGATTGATTAACGCCAAAAACTTTATCCTTTATCCTTTTTATCTATTTGCTTGTATGGCTGGATAAAATGCCTGCATGAATCTTTTCCCAATCCGTTACCCTTCTTTGCAGAGTTTCTGAGCTAGTCTGTTAGTGAGTGTTACTTTCCGGTATTACCACTCGGTTGGACAACGAGAATCCTGGTCGTTAGGAGAAGGTAATATCGAGTTTCATTTGGAAACTTGAAAGGAATCAAAGGTTGTTCTCATTTGTTTGACTTTGGTTCAATAATATGACGATAACGTAACGGATCAGTCAAATGGACTCTAGTATCTATGTCGGGGACTCAATGATAAAGAGATTTATAATCGGATCAACAGAAAGTCGATTATAGATAATGTTGTTTGAGGGTTTATCAGAGCATCAGGGTTGAGGTGATTCAACAATTGTTGCTTGGAACACAAGATCTCATTATACTAGAAAAAAAATGGACTTAAAATTTCATTCAACTTAATTGCATTCCTATAGAAGGACGTATGAAACCTACAGAGGTGTATGCCCAACCTGGAAGGGGTTTCAACATGGAACTGTCAATGGAGACCTAAGCCTTTAAATTGAGTTCCATACTTTTTACGATTACAGAAGTTAGAACTGCTGAATGAGGCTCCCCGGAATGTTATGAGCTCTAAACAAGAATCAAAATTTGAAGTGATCTGGGATAGTTCATCTATCTATTATACTTCTACCACTTCTGCTGCATCTCTTTTTTCATCTTCCTTATCTATCTCTTCTGCTTCATCATTACGACCCCAATCTTCTTCTTGTTCTTCGTATTCGTCTTCCTCTTATCCTTCGACCTCGTCTTCGTCTTCGTCTTTTTTTCTGATTCTACTTTTGCTTCCACGTCTATTTCTATGTCCAAATTCTATTACTTCTTCTCCCAATTCCTCTTCTACATCTTACACTTTTTTCGTGTCCTCTAGTACTTCTATAATACATCTTCCTCAACTTCATCCGCTTCTATTATCTCTTCCACTTGTTCTTTTTTCTTCCTTTCCTGACACCTCTTCTATCTCTAATACGTCACACTGCTTCAAATCTTCTTCCTTGTCTATGTCTTATACTTTTTTTGCCCTCTTCTTCTACTTCTTCCTATTTTTACATCCTCTTTTACTTCGACCTCTTCCTTCTATTTTCTTCATTTTTCTACAACAAATGTTTCTCTTCTGGATCTTATACTTCTTCAAATTCTGTTTGCACTTCTTTTTATATTTCATCGTGATCTTCACTCATCTACTTCTTCCAAATCTTCTTCCTCTCCTTCATCTTTACAGAATCCCTTGATCCCTTCTTTCTTCTCCTTCATCTTCTTCTCCATATTCATCTTCGTCTTCATTTTCTTCATCTTCATTTTCTACTTTTTGTTTTACAACTTCTTCCTTTTCTAGGTCATATACTCTTTCTCTTTTTCCTGAACTTCTTACAGTCGTTCTTCATCTTATCTTGTTTCATCCCTTTCCTTTGAATCTTCTTCTTCTTCAGCTTCATCTACAAACTTCTTTAAACTTTTCCTTCTTCAACTTCTACTGTTTATTATCTTCTGCTAATTCGTCGACTTCCCCATTCTCCTTCAGCTTCATGCAATTCTTCACCTCTTTTTTTCTTTCACTTTACCCTAAAATTCTCCCTGGCGTACGTAGTTCGTTCTACCCCTTCTTCTCGTAATTCTTCCTGTCTATCTTCATCTTCTTCTCCTCCGTCCATTTCATCTAAGTCTTCTCCTTCTTCTTTCACTTTATCCAATTGTACAACACCTTTAACTTTTTTGCTTTTCTTTCACTTTTCTATCTCTTTCTTCTCTTCCACGTATTAGGCTTCTTTAACTTCTCCCTACCTTTCTACATCCCTCAATTCATATGCTTCTTTCAATTCTTCTCCTTCTTCTTCGATTTTATTTATTTGCTCAACCTGTTTTAGTTCTTGTTCATCTTCAACTTTTCTTTCTTCATCTACTTTTACATCCTCTCCGAGGCAACATGACGAAGTTCGGCCATTCGTCCCCTTATTTGTTGATAAAGGAATTTAAATCATTGTCCTTGGGGGAAATTTCAGTGGGTAGAGGCATCAAGCCACCGTAAGGTCGCAGGAAAAGCTTTTTGTTTCCAACTGTTTTAAATATGAAAGTTGATTGTGTGCTCAATGTAACGCACACTTCCTTATTGTGACTGCAACCTCTGCGCAGCACTGGATGATATCTTATAAATGCTTCATCAAGGCAAAATCCTGCTTGACTAAAGTGCTTATCATGAAATATCCTAAGTGCACTCGAGAAAAAGTTCTTATATATGTACAGCGGACGTGCTTCAGACCAATTTTGCAAGTTGATTTTATTTGGGAACAGTCAATTAAGGGAACGTATTAGCGAAACTGAGGACATATCCAAAGATAACTGGTGCTTTTCAACCGCTGTCCTATTGAAATAGATTATTTTATCCTTCCGTTTTTAACAACATTAATCCCGTCTCCTCTTATGCAATTAACAGCAGGAAGAGCCGTTTTGGTTAAATATGCCTTTGATAGTGACCAACAAATGCATACTGAGCGTGGCAACATGGTTGCTTCACAACTACCTGCAGGTATTTAGACATGTTTGTGCTTTCGGAGCTTCAGAAATAGCTGCAAAGAAATGGCGACAAATTCATAAGTTGGTCTAGGCTCATCCCTATTCCATTAATATAGTCTTCTCAGAATACCCTGGTGAGTTGAAAGGCTCGCGGAACATCCCCAGAAAGATGAAATGCCGAAATTAGATGCTTTGCCCTCTTTTAGAGTGAGTTAAATGATAGTAACCTGTCGGATCGTGTGACCAACGCTGCGCTTTCCTCCCTTTTGTGCTAACCTTGGCTTCTAGACCACGCCCCTTTCGAATTTGGATGCTGTGGCACAGGAGAACAGAAGTTAGACTTATCGCCCGGAACACACAGCCAGGCGCACTGCTTCAGCGCCCTTCCTGAGTGCAGCCCTGGTCACGTCACGAGTGTTCAAGTATGTAACTATTAGGTTAAGTACAAAGTTTTGATCGACTCTTCATCCCTTTCTAGATTTTTTCGTAGGAAAGCTCGGAAGGACTTCGATGGGTTATGGTAGACCGATTCCTAACCCACGGGTGCCTCGTGACGAAACACCTTCAATACAATCAAAGAAGTGGACTACGTCCGAGGAATGTTTCACTGCGACGTTGATGGGATTCTCAGGGAATGCTCTACTTTGGATGACTTATTGAGGGTTCCACCGTAACCTCAGAGATTTGCGCTTTCCAGTTGCAGAGATGGGCCGAAGATATTCGTAAGAGGTATGCGCAGCGGGTAATTTTGGCCTTCTTCACGACAGCGCTCGACCGCATGTTGCGAAACTGTCTCGTCAGAAATTTGCCGAACTTGTAAGGGGAGCGCTGCCCCATTCCCCTTATTCGCCAGGTCTCGCTCCGTCTGATTACCATTTGCTCTGAAACATCAACTTTGCGATAGGATTTTATGATTGCTCGGAACTCAAAACTGAAGTTTCAAGCTTTTCGAATCGCGGCCGCCGCCGTTCTGAGCTTGAGGAATTGAAATGTGCCGGATCGTTGGGCATATATATGCATGTGAGGTACAACGATGGAGTTTATATTACTGATTGAGATCCTTTTTTAATGGAAATAAGACTTTTGAAAGTGAAGATGAAAAACCAATCGAAATTTTTTACTCAACCTAATAGAATTACTCATCACTTGTTCCAACTTGACTGGATTGTTTCTTGAGATCGCATTCATTTTGCCCTCCCATAAACCTTAGCCATGCCGCAAGCCTTCACTGTTTTTTTCATCCAGTACTCCTGCTTTCATCCTGTCGCCTGTACATCTAATTGATTCAAAGGCTTCACATTCAGAAGTAGACGCTTCGCCCACGCCTCGCTTCCTGGGGTGGAGTTCATTTGACCACCAACCGTAAGTGTCCCTATCCTGAGTCCCATACCCCTTCCGAACTTGAATGTCCCTTATCCAAAGAGTATTAATTTCCTGTCGGACACACACACCGATACTCATACACACCGACACATGCCGGCACACACACATGTACCCGCAAGACAAACAGACACACCTAACGCGTTATACATAGTAGAACTCTCAGCGCAACGAAACAAAGTTCGAAGTAATTAGTGAAGAGGGATTTCATCCATTCTGCAAGACTTTATAGCTCGTCATACATAGAACTTCCTTCGCAAATAGACAGATTTTCGAGTGTGTATTGCACTTAGCAGTATTCCAAATCATGTTTTCAACGCTTTGTAAAAAAGTTTTTCTCTGGTGCAAAAATGCAAGTTCTCAGAACGGAGCGTTAGAGAGAGTTTTTGCTTTCCCGTGGCCTACTGTTTCTTCGAAGCCGTTTGTTATGCCACATAAAGAAAACGCTTCCGCTAATACTCGACAAGATATTGATTGCTTTTGGTAGTGTGAATTTGAAGATTTAACAAAACTGATGGCCTCATTACAGTTGTTCAAAGGCCCCTTCCCTCCTCTGATATCAGACATTTCATTGCGAAAATCAATATCCGCTTTCTTGGATTCGTTTCTTGAGTGACGTGGCATACCGTATTATGAAATGGATTTGATCTCGACCCATTAACCGTGGGGTGATCTTGGCAGGACTTATGCGAAGTGAATGAATTTTCACTTAATTCACCGCTAACCTATTGGAATAGGAGCATCAGAAACCAAGATTGTCCTCGTAAATCCTCATCGTTTCTGTAGGGACTCCTCTACTTTACGATAAGCGCAATTTTTTCGACGTACCTGATCTCTGCTAGTCAACTAAGTCACCTTGGACGGTCAGTTTGGACTCGTGTCGGTCAATTCTCGTCAACCTTCCATTTTTAATGTATGCTACTTTAATTAATTTGCTTTCAGTAGTTGCGAATTTTTGCATTATTTCCTCGAAAAGGCTGGCCTCTTTGTTGAATGTCAACGATTCAGCTATTAGTTAGTGTACTACGATCTGGCACTGCACAGCTACTTTTCCAAACTCCACTTGTGTTGCAAAATTGAAATCGTTCACGAGTTTGCTGCTAATGTTCGCTCCTTAAGTCCTGCGCTCCTTCTCTGATTTCATATCAGCAAATGTGATCACTTGCGCAGGGTGACATACTGCTGGAAAGCCACTAGATAAGTATATAGAACATTGTGGGTAGAATGTGTGAGCTGCATCGTTCTAGTTGTACCATCACTGTATCAACTCTGTCTACCACCAAATATCTCGACTGAACTTGATAGTCACTTCTTTTGAATCGAGCTGCTCTAATTATTTAGACATACTCCAGAAAGTTTTTGTCATATCTCTTACTTATTCCTCGATGTGGGAATACTTGAATGCCACGCGGTGAATAAAAATATTTCATTTCGGTCTACGATAAAAGTTCTAGAGAGTGAAGGAAGGCATGAGCACGAGTAATGGAGCAAGCCAGAAGGCGCTGCGGCGAGGCGGAGTCAGAAGTAGACGGTAGCGCCTGTAGCGTCTAAGCTTATCTCCGACTGATCAGTACGACGCATCGAAACACTGCTGTTGCTAGTAAAAGCGAGGCAGAAGACGAACAGGCCTGAATAGGTAGAGTATACCGTAGCAGAGAGGTAGAAGGCCAGTAAACAAGTAAATGTTAGTGCCTGTAGCGGCGAGGCTTATCTGCCGACTGATCAGGACGACGTCTCGGAGCTGCGCCGATGTAGAGCAAGAGAGCCGAAGAGGGAAAGTGATCTCTGGTATTGAATAAAGCCGTGAGGGCGATCGGGGAGTATTTGCTGTAGTCCGTCGAGAATCTCGGTCCCCTCGACGATATTACGTGAGCCTTATATACGGTCAGGTTACGTGATTATTGAGGCTGAGAAATCTTTCTTAGTGAACATAAGCTTCTCCGACGAAGCTGTTTTGAGAACTAAGGTTTAACAAGCGAATAAGAGAATAGGAGCTACAAAGGAATGTAAACCTACAATCTACTCGTCTGGGAACATAGAAAAGTAGCATTTCGCGACATGCGAGTTGTATTCATAAAATCACTCTCAATGTCATCGTCACGAGTCCAGCGATCATGTCCTTTTCAACCGTGCAATCGTGGAACACTCGAAGCATGCGCAAGAGAGCTGCAATGATCCGGTACTCTTCTAACCTCCTGTTATCTGCAGCATATACTATTATTTTTCCCTGGTCATCCGATGATTTTTTCCTAATGCGTCCCGTTGCTAGAGCTAGGAACATTATGGGTGTTTACTCTAGGGAATCAGTGATTAGCAAGTTTCGATGACGCTAGGTCCGTAACCCATTTTCCATTCCAACCGGCCAGAAACTCTTTAGTGAGAGAAAACGGTCAATTATGATCTATGGCTATTTGTTCACATGCAGCATCGTATGCGTAATAAAGAACAAATTTCATCACGAGAGCCAGCAAACTTGCTGATCTCACTTGATTTGCACTTTTTATTCAATCCACATGTGATAAATTCGAAGAAAGAGTTGTTTTCACGAACCTTCATTGATAAATTATGTCATGTGCTGAAAATACAGGCTACTACCGTTTCCCAGCAACGTATATTTCGCTTCTGGATGAAAAACTACAACAAATTTCGGTGCAGACCTATATTATTTTAGTGATAAAGAATATATTGAGAAACGAGATTTCACAAAGCCTTCTACTTGGATTTGCATACGTTCTGGAAGTGAAATTGGTATGGTTTCCCAGAGACATTCCTCATCTTTGCTGCAGGGCCATAGAGGGAAAATTTCGGAGCCTTCTACCATATAATGTGGAAGCGATTCTCGAGTAATAATTTGAAACTTGGGAATTCGTACATATAATGGGAATTTCGTTCCCTATCAACCGTTAACCCCATTCCTCTTTAGAACTAACTTGTGAGGGGACTGTAACACCTTATTTCAAGAGCCATGAAGTTGGCCATCGCATGGATTCTGTGCAGCGCCATGCTACAAAGTTTCCTGCCAAGAACACACGCACAGAATGATGTGTCACAGGTTGTGCGATTACGTGATCCCAACTACTAGTTACATATCATTGGTGACACTGAAATATGACATGACGTGGGATGGTGTGACGTTGAAACCATTCGGCATCACCCTGCTTCACGAGCTGAAACCGGTCCGCTTGGCAGCGAAAGTCCCCTTAACATGTGCTGCAGGGAGGATCTCAGCCACAGAGAGGGCATCACCAATTTCTGCCTCAGAAGGCTGAACGCGGCTTCGAACCGAGGTAGTCGCTAAACAACAAAGGCAGCCGTAGAAGCGAATCCAAGGAGCGACGTTTGAACGATAAGAAAAGAACTGTGAGTACATCTTATATTTGGATAGCAACCATTGATACAAGGCATTTGATGCAAAATGGAAAGGTCAAAGAAATGCGGAAGTTGGCGCCTTATGGACTGTCGGTCTGCTTCTGAAAAAATCTTTTTCTACAAAAAAGTTTTTTGACCCCATCACTACGATGGACGTAATATGTACTGTGCCCTAGCTAAGCCATTTTTTGATAAGACAGGCCCCACATGGCGGCATACTTGTAATCCGCGGCTCATCTTAGCCGGAAATCTCGTGAGTCTTTTTTTCGTTGGTTGTGCAGCTGAGGATAGTAGCTTTTCCACGATAAACGAAGACTTCTGGTATTCCTGTCTGCATAATTTCTTATTACTTGATTCTGTCTTTACAGAAGATGCCATCTTTATTTGTGGACAAACGATTTCACGGTCCTAGAGAGTATCGACATCGACAAGACCGGCAGTTCCAGCTTCTTCAATACCACACTCATTGATTCCACGAACAATGCGGAAAAACCCTGGAAATGTGTTATCTATGTATATTAGAAGCACATACCTACCCTAAAAGAAGAAAATGCCTTGTGTGTCAGTGCAGTGTTTGTCACTGCCTATGATCAGACATAAGCACTGCGCTCGGCAGCGCTGTTTCATATAGTTGTGAGTTTCATGCGAGGCATAATAGAGAAGGAACAACCAAGCAGAATCAAATTTACAGATGCAATTTTGTGGACGGCTAACCTTGCTCTCCCCAATCGTCGTGCCACGAGTTAGCAATAATCCAGTAATCTTTACCATTTTCCTTTCCCCAACCGATCAATTTAACTGCATGGGAACCTCGCACTCTGCCAGCGGTATGCTGTAAGCATGCATTTCAAATATCCAAGTTCTTTTATAGAGTAGCGTGGTTTCCAGGATAAATTCAAGTTGTAAAGGGTAAAGGGTAGCTAGACGAGATGTTCGGCGTAATCGGTCTGACCGAGACGAGTAGGCATCTCAAGTTTCAAGCATTTCAAGAGTGGACAAGAACTGAAATTTAGAGCATGCGACAGCGATGTAGGTGTTTTCATAAACTCGCATTGAACCACGAACTACGATTTTTACGGAAGCTTGCCAGCCCGATTCTGACGTTAGATTGGAAATATGTGGTCGAACCTCTGCTACATATCAGATATCACGGAACGGAGTGGAATGAGCAAAGTGAAAGACTGTTCGAAATAACATGTAGACTCACATCACCTGTGGTAATTTACAAAAGTAGAAGTCTTCCATTTGCGATGGCTTAGGAGCCACCCGGAGGTGAGTTCCAGAGAACATGCAGTGTTTAACTACAAATTATGCTGGCTGACGTCTCTGCTATGACGAAGCTCTACGCAGAATCGGACCATCTTAACCTTCGTAATAGATACCTTTTTCAAGGCGAAGCTCAAAAGGTGGAGCCCTAGGCCCGTAATGACGGGCCTTTCTCGCGAGTTTTTGGGAGCACTCCGTTATCGACGACAACCGGCTCGAGAAACACAGTGCTAGAAAAGCAGAGAGCCTGCAAGTAGCCAGTAAACGTTTCTCCTCGAAGACGCTCAAGCTGATATGTCAGCGTGGGATCGCGCGAGCTTCAGGTACGCATCATCAACAAATCTCATGTGAAACTATACAGGAAACGATAGTGAAGTTCTGAAAAACTGAGCAGAAGTTTAAATTTAACAGAAGAACATTTGCAATGACCACTGAAGCTTCGCCACTCACAAGAACAAATTAATTCCCTTCGCCGTTCTGACGTAGCAATTGCTGCGTCGAGAGAGTCATCTATGACTTCAATTCAGACCACTTCGACAGCAACATCTACTTGCCTACTCACTACATTAGGTGCGATGGTATATCTTCTCTTCCGTTCCCCTTCCAAAATGACATGCTAGTGTTACAGTCAGTGAAGGAATCTTCGACGCACAGACAGGATAGGGTTGAGCCAGACATCCAAAGAGCCTTCCACCAATTATCTTTGGGACTCTGGCTAGGTTCTTCACGCGGTATCTGTCGGAATGCAAGGTGCCCGCGTCATGGAAAATTAGCAAGACTGTGTTGCTGTACATGAAAGAAAACAGATGTCTGGAAAATATTGGTAACTATCGCCCAATCTGCCTGCTGCCTGTAATCTATGAAGTTTTTAGTCAGTCTAAGCAAACACGCAGAATACTAGTCAAAGCATAGCCATGTGAACAAGCAGAATTTCGAAGAAGGTTCATTACAGTAGATCTCAACCACACTGTCACAGGACTCCTTGAAGTATCGCGAGATTACAGGGTGCTGTTATGCATTACGCTCAACAGTTGAGGTATGCCTTTGCTACTTTGAGACAGAAGAGCTAACTGAAGCTTCGGGGAACCACGGCGTCCATACACAGTATATAAGGTCGTTCCGTGTGCTTTATTGCAACCCCACGACCAAGATTCAACCTCTATGAAAGTTTTTCTCAACTTTAAGGAGCAGTTTGGCAGGGCGCTACCATCTCGCGCATTCCTCTTAATGCCAATATTGAGAACATTTGCATGGTCTGGATTATAGAGGTATGAGAGTGAATGTTGACTGCCGCTACTTAAATCACCTCAGCTCATACCACATCGTACTTATAATACTGCACATCGAGCGGGCGGAACGAATGCTGGCCGAGTTTGACGGCGCTTGTAGAAAGAACGGCCTAAAGCTGAACATACCGAAGACGATGAAACGAATTGGTACTTGAAGCTGCGTCCACGCTATAAGGAACGAATAACTCTGAGTGCCATAGCTACGCGTATCTGGATCGAGAAGTCATTATGAGAATGACTCAACTCCGGAGCTGAGGAGAAGAAAATGCGCGATGTAAGATATGGGTCCGCACTCATGTTTCCTTCGAAATACGCCTTGGGTTTTGCCAAATTAGAATACGCATGGGTTCAGCGTCATTCAACGCGCCGTGGAAGGAACGATGCTCGAGGTTTCCCAGTGAAGATCAGAGATGCCGTTGCATACTGTTGCCAACGCGGTGAGCAGACATATTCACGAAAACCCTGAAAGGAAGGGCTGCTATGCCTCGTGCCCCTTAAGCGAAGACAATTCACTTGGCTTCCCTGGCTCGCGACAGAGGCGAATGGAGACCTTTTTGAACCGTTACCGCTAAAGGAAATCGATATCAGTGGAGCAACAATAATACACATACACTCAAAAGTCATCCAAAAGTCTAACCTTATAGATTACTGATTTGTAATGCGCGAAATCTTCATAAACTTCAAATGCAACGACTACAGAGCCATGCTTCAAGACCTCTCTGTATAGCTTTAACCGACGGTGGTAGTTTGTAAGCGGTTTTGCCTGAAAATACTTCTTAGAACTTCAAACACTCAAAGGATATTGTTCAGTCGCTCACAATGATGTGGCAGGATATTATCATATTATAGAGAGAGACAGCCATTGGACACCAAAATATTGTAATGAAAAAATCTGTTTCGAGTCTACATGAGTAACAGTTGAATTTTCTCTTGTGCTCACAGGGAATGTTCCAAGATAAAATGGTCATTCAAAATAATACTCAATGTCATGTGTGCTTTCAGATGCTGACCTTTAATCGCGTTCCAAATCTTTTGAACAGTAAACTGAACAAAGTTATGAAAATGCTTTTGTAGAGCACTTAAATAAGAGAGCACAAGAGGCATGACGTTGTCAAGTATTCAGCAGAGGAGCGATGGTAAAAGAACGCTTCATATGCACGAGACTATGTTTTCGGGTTCGGTGTGAGACCGGTTATTTTCGTTTCATGCGTCTTTTTTCTTTAGTTAATCCTTTTGTATTGATTGAATCGCGCATTTCATCCTTTCGGTGTCCAAGACAACTCATTTCCTATCTGAGCCATAAATACCGCCAAAGTTGTTTGCGCATTCATACACCATACTCTCAGCCCGTCATAAACATACGATTCTAGAACATAATGCTCAAAGCAAAGAAGTGTTGTAATTCGCTAGAAGAACAATAAGCGAGAAATTTGTCACACCACATTGTTCATTCAGTGAACCAGAAGGAAAACAGAACGGGGAAAGGCGTTATAAAATCATCCGCACAAGCTTTCATGTAGCCAGCTGCTCAAAAGGGTAGACAGGATTGTGCTTCCAGCTTCTGCCATCACCCACCCTTTCACCTTACTTCTTTGCTGATGGCCACCAAGATCGAAGTGATCCGAGTCTGTCACGAACAAACTTACATTTTGCTACCTGGGCCGACGGAGCTTCAGTGTTCTCAGAAGCCCGGAAAAAAGAATTCAATGTCAGGAGGTGTTGGCTTTCTTGTGTCCCGAACTTCTAAAAGCACGTAAAGAGCATAGCGTTCCATGGGCACCGACTCCCCATACTGACCGCGTACCTTTCGAGAGTTTCGCAAGTCACCATCATACAGGCTTACGCGCCTACAGCTGACAGCGATGAAGAGCAGAATGACAACTTCTACGAACAACTCGAGGAGCTCGTGCGTAGGCAAGGTGGTTACGTTGTTGTGATGGGAGACTTCAACGCCCGGGTTGGATCACGAAAGGTCGAAAGGAAAGCACGGCGAGGTCTTCATCGGGCCACATTCGGCTGAAGAGCGCAACGAGCCTGGGGAGAGATTAGCGAGTTTTCGTGAACTGTATCATCTCTATCATGGCAGTAGTCAGTTCCTCAAGGCACCACGGTAAAGATGGACTCATATCTCGCCCAATGGACAACACTATCACGAAATCGAACACATCTTGTGCAATCGGAAAATCATGACGGATGTTGCTGTTGTCCCTTCTTTCAACACTTAGAGCGATCATCGTTTACTGCGAGGGCGTTTTCACCTTGATTGCGGCTTGACGCGCATACGCTCAAGGCAGCCGTGCCCCACTATGCTGGACGAAGATGCGGTCAGGAGGCTTGCAGAAGAAGAGTTGTTTGAAGTGATATGACATCGACGCTGACTACGAGAACCTCGTACAAACCGTAACCGAAATCGCAAACAGTTCTCGTCTACTCGTGCACTACTCGAAAAGCGAAGAAATATGGATCGACAGGAAAACCATGTGGAGTA